TATTTTCCTCTAAAATACTTAGGAAATGCATTTAAACTAATTTTCTTTCCTTCACCAACATACATTACTTCAGATGCAGCACCTCCTCCTCTACCTCCATTTGACACACCAGAAAAATGATTCCCTAGAAGTATATTTAATCTAGCCCATGCATCAAATATTCTTTCTTCTCTGGCAGTCCATTGAGAGAAAAAGTAGACAGTCCTCTACTTCCTCTTCCTCTCTCAAACCTAACTATATTTTCTTTCAGGGTAGACATACTTAAATTTGTATTTCTTTATATATACTATCATGAATAATTACCATGTGTAACAAAATGTTAAGATAAATGCTTGGGGTAGCTTCATGGAATAGGATGTAAGCTTACAGATGTAAGGATTAGGAAGGGAGATTTGGGTAAGTGACCTTCCTACTATGTACAGCTGTCCTATAATGTTAAAAACTCAAGCAAATTCAAGATGCCACCAAGCAGAGATGCTACCAAAGGGACTGTTGCATTGAGGGGAGAGTTAATTAATCTCTTAGATCCTGTCTAACTGAAGTATTTTATAAAAATTTTTAAAAATCAAGGGCAGCTGGGTGGCTCAGTTGGTTAAGGGTCCAACTCTTGGTTTTGGCTCAGGTCATGATCTCAGGGTTGTGAGATCCAGCCCTGTGTCGGGCTCCACCCTCAGCAAGGAGTTTGCTTGTAATTCTTTCCCTCTCCCTCTGCTCCTCCCCCCACTCGCATGCTCTCTCTCTTTCCCAAATAAATAAAATCTTTAAATTTTTTTAAAAATTGAATTACACAACCAAACGATAACTAATAAATCTCCTATTTCATTGGATATCAGTCTCATTGGCGAAATCACACAAGGCCCTCTCCTGAGAATGACTATGTAAAAATATTTAATACTAATTAGACAGAAAATTTTGGTTCCAGCATTGACATAGAGAAGCAAAGAGGGCTTTTAAGCAGAAGGAATGATTGTGCTATTTTTATTGCTTTGAGGGGAACTTAAAACTTAGCTCTTCACGTGCCTCTTATATACTGATGACAAAGGATTAAATATTGAGAGAAAATGTCAAGAGCTCTAAGGAAAGCTAAGGAAAAATCAATCTCTAATCATCATCAATTGCATTAAACCTAGTTAAGTAATACTAGAAAACAAGATGAAAGTCTATGAAAATATATTAAACTTCATTGAAACTATTAGAGAAATTAACATGATACAATTTTAAGTTGTTCAAAGAGGAAACGTTTCTAATTTTACATATAAGTTTTCCTAATATTGATTGAATATTTTTTTCTTTCCTTCTTTTTCAAATAATGGGAACAATATCATCAAGTAGTCTATGGTTGTGTACTCCTAACACTGGGCTTTCACATTTCGATAATTTCACTTTTATGGAACTATGCATATAAAGAATGTTAAAAACTCATTTATAGAGTTCATGCTCCAAATGTACAAAACACACTTGGAATAGAGACAAGGCCCAAGGGTCTGGATGTGTGCTGCATGGTATGCTTCTCTTCTGACCTCTCAGGGTTAAACCAGTTCAATAAGAAACGAGGCATTTGCCACTAAAATTACCTGTACCTTCATGGGGCAGGAAAGCAGAGTTGAAGCCAAAGAAATCTCCTGGGTATTTTTGAAAAACAAAACAAACAAACAAACAAACAAACAAAAACACAAAAAAACAACCAGCAAAGGAATTTGTTCAATTTATGAGGAGTTAGGGAAACATGAGACACATAGGGAGCTGATTCAATTTCATATTCAAATTGGCAAATAGCAACAGCATGGTGGTTAAGGAAAAAATAGCTTGCTTGAGCTATTATGAAGAACTCTAACAAATAAACTGATACGATGCTTATTATCTTTTAAAAACTAATTGTTAAGACCTTTACTGTAAAGAAAAAGTCATGCATGACAGGGATTTCTTCTCTGAATTACAGTTAATTATTTCACTTTTTTTTTTTTAAGACTTTCATTTATTTATTTGAGAGAGAGCACTGAGGGAGAGTGAGAGGGAGAAGCAGACTCCCCACCCAGCAGGGAGCCCGACGTGGGGCTTGATCCCAGGACCCCAAGATCCTGACCTGAACCGAAGACAGACGCCCAGCCGAGTTACCCAGGTGCCCCTAATTATTTCACTTTTTTTAAAAAAGCACATTAAATAAAGAATATTAACCTTTTACATGTATTATCTAAGAGAGGTTCATTGAATGTTACCTGATAAAAAAGATTACAGATTTTGAAAATATTAATGTCCCTCTACATTTCTAAATACAACTTGCAATGATTTCCTATTACAATTATATTAACTGTCATCAATGGCATTAAGTATTGCTACAGAAGCAAAATAGATAGGCTCTGCCCTTTGTTTACAATTTCAATGATGTCGACAAATGAAACTCTAACCTGTTACAAGGCCTTCAGATGTCAAATCAAATAAGCAAACATGTTACTTTCATATTTGCCTACTGCAGACCTGTGTCCACTTGCTACATTCCTCAAGTAATTTCATGGAAGTCTTTTCCCAGCCACTAGGGGACAATTCAGACCTTTTAATTTTTAGAAAATGGATCTGAAAGGTGATCAGGGGTAATGGCTTATCCAATTTCGGTCCTAAAAGTTTTGTCTGCAAAATTGAGCTCAAGACAATAAAAAAAAATTATTTAAAAAATTGAGCTCAAGAGATACAAAGCCACAAATGGCTCTAACATGGATCCCAAATTGAGGAAACTGAAGAGAAAAATCTCAACTTCAAGTTCACTTTGATCTAGGCTATTGGGAAGTTGAGTGTGGAAGAAGGTGTGTTTTGATACAAGCAAACTTACCCTCAATCTCTAAAGCTCTGGGAACCATTGCTCACACCAGTCTGAGGGCTCAGCCTCCTGCCCTGGGTGCCCTCTGAATGGAACCAGCCCAGGTGGCAGGTGCTCAGACCTCCCTCCTGGAAGCCCCCACCCACCCAGCACAAGAACAGCATAGGAAAGCCGAAGCATGCCCTCCCCTCAGACTGGGGCCTGCAACTTGCCAACATGCACATGCGCATGCAGTCCCCCTATCTTCCCAAGGCCCGCCCCATACTCACATCCATGGCTCCAAGTATGCCAGGAGCTATACCCACCTAAGGCAAGCCTTCTCTATTTTTTTTTTATTTAAGATTTTATTTTTTTAAGTAATCTCTACACCCAACATGGGGCTTGAACTCCCAACCCCGAGATCAAGAGTCGCATGCTCAAAGAACTGAGCCAGCCAGGCCTCCCTCTCCCCCTGCACCGCCCCCCCCCGGCAAGCCTTCTCTCTTAACTCCTCTTGTAAGGCGCTATTCAGCAGACACTCAACACCCAGATATTTAGAGACCCCATGCCATCTTGCACTTACTGAAATAATGCTTGTTACCATTCTTACGCCGCATCATTTGAGTGGGTTTCCGCTCCCAAATTAAATTACAAGTTGCTTGAGGGATAGAACTGTGCTTTATCTCTTTTGAATCCCCCCTCAGTGTCCAGAACAGTGCCCAGCACAGAGCAGGAACTCAAGAAATGGTGGTTGGTAGTGATGGTCATGGCTGGAAGTCAGAGGACAGCTGAATCTCCACATGTGGGTCCATCTTCCGTCACTACTGAGAGAGTCCCAAGGGGCATATGTCACTCCCCTCCCACACCACCTCCAATCCCTGAGCCCACAGCCCTTCCAGGACACCTAGTTTCCAGGCACCATTTGCAAGAAGCCATATTCAGCCCCTCATCATGCCCTCTTTTTTAGCAGTGTTTTTTCCCCGTCACTACCGTGTGGGGAATGCTCCTCTCTCATGGGCACCACCCTTAGTTCTGGTGTAAAGGTGAATCTCTGAGTGGTCACCAGGAGACCTCTCTGAAAGGCACGTGATTTCCTTATTTATTTTAAGGGTGGAAATGAAAAGAACTGCTACCAAGCACCCCTGAAGGCTAGATAAAAGGACAGGGAGCGTCTGCTGGGACGAGTCCCTAGCTTCCAGCGCTCCTGCCCAGACCAAGCGCTCTCATACGGAACTCTCATAGTTATCAAGAGCGGCGGCAGCATCTGAACCCCAAAACAACAGGGTCCAAACGCACCAGGCCTCGATTCCAGGCAGAACTGGCTTTCTCCCTTTTCCTCACCCAACATACCGGACCCCTGCGTGGATTGTAGGAGGCAGTTGGCCTTGGGACCATTCCTGTCCCTCTGTGGAGCGTTTTCCTCATCTGTAAAGCGAGCGGGTCGACCTGGCGATCCTGAAGCCCCCTCCAGTTCGAAAACTGTCCAGACCTCTGGTCCCCCACTTCGCGCCCTCTCAACCTAGGCAGCGACGCGGAGCCCTCGTGCGGCCAGGGAACGTTAGATTCGAAGACCCTAAGTCGCAGCCAGCCGGAAAGGGCCCCCAACGATGCCGCCCCTCTGCTCCGCTCAGGTTTCACAGATCAGCGAGCTAAGCCGGGGTACTCCCGGGTGGAGCGGTGTTCGGATCCCAGTCGCTGCCCGCCCCTCTCGAGCCTTGCTTCTCCCCACCCTGGCGGCGCGTGGCCCCTGTTCACCGCCCCGGAGGCACTGGCCCTCCCGCCGCCCTCCCGCTGCCTGTGCAGCGACTGCAGGCCCGCACTCGCCGCTGCAGAACTGTGTACACAGCCGCCATGGCAACGGGCCGTTTCCGCAGATCCCGGAAGTATCGGGGTAGTGGCGGAAATGAAGTCCGCGGCCTGGGTCGAGATACGATTAAGGCCAGGGCCGAATCGGAAAGACGGGAGATGGGACCGGTTAATCTAAAAAGACTGCGGCAGCTGCAGGCGCGAAAGCACGGTCTGGAGAGCGAGGGAACGAAAGCTAGGCTCGCACCCGGAAACGGGGCAGCGGGGCTTCCGGCGCAGAGCCGTCTGAGACTACGGCAGCCGCGCAGGCCCGCCTGCTTCCAGTCCCGCGCTCCGGGCGGCGGATCGCGCGGGCCCTAGCCCCGCCCCGTTTAATATCGAGCCGGCCGGCCAGGCCTGCGCAGTCGCGGCGGCCGGGGAAGATGGTGGAGGACGGCGCGGAGGAGCTGGAGGACCTGGTGCACTTCTCCGTGTCCGAGTTGCCTAGTCGCGGCTACGGCGTCATGGAGGAGATCCGGCGGCAAGGCAAACTGTGCGACGTGACGCTGAAGGTACCGAGGGCTGGGCAGCGTGGAACTGAGGGATAAGGAGCCGAGTGGGGAGGAAAGAGGGGCGGGGGGTAGGGGAAGAGAGGTCTAGCGGGCAGAGCGGTGGGGCAAGGGGGTTGGAGGGAGATCGAGTAGGGGACAGAGAGTTGCGGAGTGGGAGAGAGGAATTGGGGCTGAGTGGGGAGACGGACAGGGACAGCTTCTCAGCCCTTAGAAGGACAGGCTGAGAGGAGCGCGGCTGAGGCCCTCGGGGTGGGAGACATTGGGGTGCCCGCCTCCCTTTTCTGTCACACAGACGGGAGAAAATGGACTTGCAACCCCTCTGGAGAGGAGGGGGCGGTGGCCGCCTCTACATTCTGATGGGCACCAGTGAAGCACCCTCTCTTGTCACCGTAGACATTTCTTTGTGCCCCTCGAAGTTAGCTGTGCCGTTGTAAGGCACAGGCTTCTCCTTGGGAGTCATTGCTTGCCCTTGATTGTTAGATTACTCCTTGTTTCTTAAGAGCTTTTAAAATCGGATCTGGACATCTTTTGAGGTGGGCATTTACTCTGCCCCCCACTGGAAGGTGCACCACCACCACTACCTCCACAAAGGTCTCAGAGGATGGATTGGGTCTGCGTCGGGGGTGGGGGGGGAGGGAGAGGGATTCCTTAACCACCTGTTCCCTACTGGCATCCTGGGCCCAAGAGCCAGGCTTCCTCCCGTGCTTTGCATCCATTCCTGCTGGAGAGGCATGCTGTGCTGCTCCTTGGCCTCACTCCTGAGTCCTCTGGAGCCCTCCACGTGGGAAGGTGCTGCTGTGAACTGTGTTCCCTGTTGGGCTTTGGCTGGAAGGCTCTCAGCATCTGTGGAGGACCACATGAAATATATATACACATGCAGCGATCTTTTCGCCCTGCTTGTTTTCTACAGAATTAAGGAAACTTTTCTTTTTTCCGTATTTGAGTCAGACCTCTGGAGACAGGAGAGTAGAATGCTTAAGAGTGTGGAGAGGAAGGATTTGGATTAAAATCCTAATGATAACCTTGGGCAAGTTTCTTAATCTCTCTAAGCTTCAGGTTTCCAAATTTAAAAACCGGGATGATTTCTAATTCTCAGTATTAGTGTGAGGATTCAGTGAGAAAATTTGTAGTATTCTTTGCATGATGCCTGCCTTAAGTTTTTCATCCTCCAAAGGAGCTTGGTTTTCTAGGAGAGGAGTGAAGTGGCGTGAGAGGGAAAAGGATCTTTAGCGGGGAACCAAGGGGTTTGAGAAAAATGAGCTGGACTAAAGGAGGCAGAGGAAGTAAATATAAATGAGAGATTTTTGTCCATGGTGATAACATGGTAGAAGATGTTGCGGCTACTAAAGGTTTGTAAGCAGAAGAATGATCTGGTTGTGGCAGTAACACTTGGAGTGAGTAGAGACTGGTGAAAAGCAGTAATAGGGGAGAATTTGGGGGTTAAGATTTAGGCTGTAAGGGTGAGCCAGGGAAAGCTTGTGAGACAGGGAAGCAAAAAGGGTATGATAGAGGGGGATGGTTACAGATACTTGCTACATAGATTGAAGCAGTGTGTTTTGCCTCTGCATTTAATGCAAATACAGAATATAACAACCCTTTAGCATAAGAATGCTTGTATGATTTTTTTTTCCCCATTACACTGCTTTTTGTTCATTCAAAGGGACAAGAATTATCAGAGGTAGTTCCAACTGAGAGTGTCTGTCTAAATTGCTGTGTTTTAAGCATCTGGGACATAAGGACTAGTATAAAGGGACAGGTGGAGCTGGGCAGGACCTAGAGAGCGTTTGCTTCATTGGTTTTCTAACTCTTCTGTACAGCCTGAGGAGTAGCTCACGGCAGTGTGATGGTGGGGGCCAGGGAGAGGCCAAACAAACCAGGCTCTCCATTTCACCCCCTTTCACTAGAGCTGCTCTGTGAAATCTGTTTTGGTCTCTCTCTCTCTCTTTCTCTCAGGATAGAGTCTTTCCTGAAACTTCTGATGTTTCCGGACTGTCTTCCAAATAAATAGGTACTGAAAGGTCAGTTGGAAGCTTTGTGTTGTGGGATGGATTTATTGACTAGTGGGCTAGGGCAGTGCTTCTCAGTCTTTACCAAGTATTAGAATCACCTGGTGGCCTGTTCACACACTGGTTGTTGGACCTCACTCCAGAATTTTTTATTCAGTACGTCTGGCATGGGCCTGAGAATTTACATTTCTGACAAATTCCCCAGTAATGCTACTCCAGATGATAAACCTCCAGTCTTTTGCTGGGGTAGTACCAGTACTGCCTGACTTCAGCCTCCCTTATGCTCACACCTTCAGAGGAAACCTGAGTCTCCAACAGTTGAGGTTTGGAAGGGACTCCGAAGTGGCTTGTCATGTGCAGCACACAGTGTTCTCCATCGAAGTCAGTCACTACTCATCTTCCAAAGTTTGGTGATATTTTTGATCTGCTCTCTTTGTTTCTGCTTCTTTTTCCTTGGGAGCTTTGCTGTTCCTTAATTGTCAGTCTGAGAGGTGGTATAGCATAGACTCAAGCCAGACTGCCTGGGTTGGAATCCTGGCTCTGCCACTTACTAGCTGTGGAAACTTGGGCAAGTTCCTTAAACACTGGGGACTCAGTTCCTTCATTTGTAAAATGGGCATCATCACCTCCCTAATAAGAGTGTTAGGGATTCCATTAGTTAATACACTTAAAACAATCATGTAGTAAATGCTCACAGCAGGTATTTATGAATAATGACAATTTTATGAATAATAACGATGGGGTTTCTAGAGAGAGAGGAGAAATAAATGGGTATGTTCAACCTGCCATTTTGAATTTGTTTTAGCTTCTGATGAATTCTGGATGATTTTATCTAAACATAATGTTCATTGTCTTAAAAGAGTTTGCAGACCACTGCTCTGCTCAGTAAACTGCATTTTACAGATGAGAACCCAAGCCCAGAGGAAGGGACTCGTTCAAAGTCACAGATGGAGTTAGGTGGAGCTAGGACTAGAGACCGGACTCCTGGTCTCTGTTCTCCTGCTCAAATGTTCTTTCATGCTCTCCTGTGGCCTCTTCTATCACTGGGAGTGACGGAACTGATTCCAGCTGCTACCATGTGAATTAATCTATCTCCGGTCAGTTGTACTCAACAACTGATCCGTCTTTTCTGTCTTCCCGAGCTTTAGGGAGTGTGTGAAAGTTAGCGTTAGCAGGTATGACGCATTATCAAAATTCACTGCCAACTCTCAAACCTTACTTAATTTTGTTTTTGGAAATATTTGAAATTTAAATTCCTTGGGCACCTGTTGGATAATTAAGAAGAGGCAGAACAGAAAGGGTAATAATACTGGATTTTAAAAATCACATTCTATGTCTATGTTGACTTGAACCTTTTTTAAAAACTGAAAATGAACCCTCTCCCCAGAAAAATGCACATACTTAACATACATGCAAAATTTTGTGTTCAGTCTTAAGAGCAATTCCTAAGGCCTGTCTCTGGCTCATGGGTTAATGAATCCAGCTGAGTATCGTTTTCCTATCAGAAAAAGCCCATGGTCCGTCTACATGACAAATCATTTTATCTTAAAAGTTAGGAGGATAGCAATGGAAGACTTCTTGGCAACCTATAGCATCCGGCTTGGTCTGGGCAGAGAGGTTTGCATCCTTTGTGGTTCTCATCCCCTCTTCCATCAGCCGGTTTCCTCGGCTACCAGTTGCCCAGTGCTCAGGCCGCATCTATCAGGTTCACAGGGTCCAGCAAGTTAGGCAGACTCCCCAGATTCAATAAGCGTTCACCACAGTTTGTTATTTATAAGATCTAGACCCACCACTTTAACATTTTTCTATTCTCCCCTTACCTCACATTCTCCTTTTTCTTTATTCGTGAGAGAAGAATGGGGTCACCAAACCTGCGTATTATTCACTGACCCATAAGCTTAGCAGAGGAGCTTCCTACTCTCTCTCTGTTTTGCAACCACTAATGAACTTCATTGATTTGCTGGCATCGGTCTTCTAGCATTTTCCCAAGGCCCCTGCTAAGATTTTGAACCCAAATCTGAGAATTTATCCTCCAGAAGGAAATGTCTTTTCCATGGGTAAAAGGCACAGTATTAGAATATTTCCTTTTGACCCACTAAATCCAGGTACACAGTTCTCATTGAAACTGGCTTTAAGAGCCACACATTTGAGTCTAGAATCTTGCCTCATTTGCTCTCACACTGGTTTGGTGATGAAAGAGTGTGTGGAAAAGGATATCAGGAAGTGAAGTAAGGACTTGTTGGTGCATGCCCTTTTTATGTTCTGTGTGGTGTAGTGAGTTACACAGGTATAATTAGAGAGCTGGGAGACTCCTATGAAAAGGAGCCTTTGATAGAGGTCCTCTATCAAAGCCATTCATTTTAAAGATTAAAAAACCCTGAGGCTTAGAGATATTAAGGGATTGCCCAAGGCACAAAGCTGTATTATCTGGGATCCAGCATAGCTGTTTGTTGGTGGAAGGAATGCTTTTGCGTCTTCTGTCCTATTACTCACCTGCCCTGCTGATTTTATGAAGCAGAGCAGGGAACACAAGCCATCTGCAGTGTCATTTTCAAGCATGGAGGACAGCGATGTGTATGTCCAGATGCAACACCATTGCTCTATTTCAGGAGAGAATAGAGATGCAGACTTTATTGGCTAGTCTTTTGCACAATTGAATTCTGGACTCTCTTGATTTTGAAATGGCACCGCATTGGAAAACTTGTGCTTCTGAGTAGTGTTCATTTCCTGGTGTTTTCTACTGACTGTTCCCAGGCATTTGTGTTCATTTGCAGCCTTGCGTCTTTTTAGTGAACAGTTAGAACCGAGAAGAAGAATGTGCTCCTTGACAGGAGCATTTAGGATATGAATTCATATTCATCGAAAAGTCAGTTTTGCTCTTTCTCAAGTTATGTTGTGGGTCATGCTGTTACATTTGGACACCAATCAGAAGAGGAGAGAGCTTGCTGCTGCCTGATGTGTGGGTAGGGAAAGGGAGTTGGAGGCATCCTGGAA